AACTATTTTTTACTGCATTTATCGGCCCGGCTCGATTCACTCTCTTGATTTGCAGCAGTCTGTTGTTGCAAACTAAAGCTTCAACTCATTTTCGCTTTCTGTAGTGCTTTGCTGCGCTGATTCCAGTGCATCTTGGATATGCTGTGTTCTCTTTTTCTGTCTTGGATTGTTCAGGAAATTCATTTTTTTTATGCGTTCCCTGTTGAGTAACAGCAGTACAAAACGCATATCGTCACGGGGTTGTCATTGTGTGTGTGTGTGTGTGTGTGTCAGCAGCAACTTGTCCGCAACTTTCACTTGGAAACCATAAAAACTAGGAAGCTGAAAATTTAGAGGACTGTTTCCCACCCACGTATGACCCCGCAAATCAAAATCCAGCGTCCCAGTACCTGCGAGTAACACGCATAGCCCTGTAAAAGTTTTGGCGGGTAAAATTGTTATCACGTGGATCATGGAAGCTAGAGGGCTAAAATTTTGTGGGCCTGTCCTCTACCCGTGTGCCACTCCTTTTGTTTAAACTGAGCCTTCTTGTGTCTGTGGGTATCACATACGGTCCTGTAAAGTTTCTGGCAGAAAATTGTCTCGTGGACTGCAAAAGCTAGAAAGCTGAAATTATAGCGTGGCATCCTTGCTCACGTACAACTCCGCTAATTTTAAATGTCTCCATGGAAGGTTTGGCGAGAAAAATCATTATCTTGGGAGCTTGAAGAGTTAGGAGGCTGAAAATTTCAGAGGCATGTTTCCTGACTAAGCAGGGGCTTCAAGAACTGGAATTCAGTTCCCAATTATGCCGAGGTTTCACATACGACCACGTGAAAGTTTCGTCTCAAAGGTCTTTCAAAAGCCAGAAAATTAGAAAATTGAAATTTTGAAAGGATATTCATCTTTCGAGGTTTAAAATTCCGCTTCCACATGCCTGTGCGTGAAATTTTTAACCATTTTTCAACATTTCAACTATTTTTGCACAGGCCAAAGTGCAGAGCAGTGAAAATCATTAACAGGCAATCGTTCGGTGGACGGAATTGCGCAAAACGCGTGATAGTACCGGCTGCCATGGTGCGCGTTGCTATTTATTCTTTTTAGTGCTGATTTCTGTTTGAAAATGGAAGCAGCTTTTCAAAGCAAAGCTTGGTATAATTTGATAGTTTGTCAGTTGTCCTCACCCTTGCGCTATCAGGAGATTTTCATGTTTTCTGTGACCGAAGTTGCGTAATATTTGTTCATCCTGGGAAGTAAGCATTCACTGAAAAATTGTAAAGCGCAGTTTTGAACTGTGGGATGTGTGTGGTGTGCAGGGCAGTGATATTACATAAGCGGTTATTTTTTCGTCCTGCTTGTTATCGTCTTGCCGGATCCGTGGACCATCAAAAAACAGTCGCTTGTTTCTATAAGATTCAGTTTCTAGCGTTCTCTGTTGCCGTTACCGTGTAACAGAGCGGTTCATGACGCTTCCAGGTTGCGGGACTTCGCTTTCTTATGCAGTTTGTTGGTATGCGCGAAAGTGAGACAGGACAGTGTTCTTGCAAATCCATTATTTTCTAATGCCGTTAGTTCA